GCGTTGGATGTCTGGAGTAGTGAGCGAGGTTTCTCTTTTGGACGTATTACAGCCTTGTGTCATTAAAGACGTTGATTACAAGCAGTATTTGTTAAAAAGACTTATACTCAGTTTTCTCGTCAGTTGTAATTCCCCCTTGGCACGCAGGAAACCTTTGATCGTGGGTCCCGATCCCGGTTCGCTCCGATCATGTTTCTAGGTTTGTCAGCAACATACCCGTGCATGTGGGTTTCACCAAAGTAGTAAACGTCTGAGAAAAGCATTAATTCGGGCTTTCCTCCCAAACTAAGGTGAGAGACCATGATATAACTGCAATGCTGTTCAAAAGCGGCGTTAAGCCAAACTCACTCACTCACTCTTGGAAAACTGAATACTAAACTGATAACAATAACAAACAGAGGCAATTGTTCGTCTGAAAGAAATATGGTACAAGTCAAAGCATTTAATTGGACATTTATTACCATTGATGCGTCAAATTTGGAAATGTCCCCCCCACCCAGTTTACCATAACAACTTTTGGAACGTTTTCTGAGAGCTTGAATATTAAAAACTTGATCAAACAAATTTTGAGAAAGACTCCCATGACGGTCTTTGTAATCTTCGCACCTCAAATGCTGTGAAAGGTAGACACCAAAGACTGGAACTGCTATATTATATTATTCGACATAATAGGGAAGCTGACTTTTGGAAAGTTGAAGTTTTCTCTCTTGTAATACATTCTGATGGAGCACTGGACTTCATACAGATAAACGTTGAACTAGACAGAAACTCGTATGAACAACCTCGTGCGTATCTCTGCTGAAACATGTATTAAGCTTTTTCAACTTCCATACACACAAACTGTTAACTAGAATTGAACCGAAATCCAAAGAGTTGTTTATAGCAGTATATTTTCATAAAGATTTTTCATATTCATGATAGGTAAATATAGGTAAATGTCAGTCACTGTTTATTCATGATAGGTAAATATAGGTAAATGTCAGTCACTGTTTATGAGTAAACAATTGTAAAATCACAAGTTCCAAAAGTCGAGAGTGTACATCCACGTACAGACCCGTGATGAAATGGGTTAGAATAGCCCTTCAGCAGCCAATGCTTGTCGCAAAAGGCGACTCACGGTGTCGCGTGGTCAGGCTCACTGACTTGGTTGATGCATATCATCGTATACCAATTGCGTGGACCGCGTGGACTGCATTGTCTGTTCCCGACTCGATTATTTACAAACCGCCGTCGTATAGCGGGAATATTTCTGAGTGCGGCGTTAAACAAACAAACAAACAAACAAACAAACAAAAATCAACGTAAACGTATAATGCAACACACTCCTGGTATCCGAATAATTATGCTCATGAAGTGAGTTAGTAGGTTACTTCCGATGACATTTCAAGCCGTTGAAATCAATGTTTATAATCAGGTCATTACAGTGCAACGACACAATTGTCTTGATTTTGACACAATTGTCTTGATCAAGGACAATAATCATACATGTATGTCCCTATCTCAACGTGTTCAAAATGCAGTTTAGTTAAATAGAATATTGTTGACAGTGTGAGAAACACAGTTTTTTTCCGAAACAATATTACGTTGAAAGATCGTTTAAAGAAAACTATATTTGTTATCCAGTGTTCATCATCCCAACGCTTCCCCTTTGCCGATTGAGAAAAATGAACTTTCTGCCAACGTTGACTACATCTGGTGAATCATTACAACGAACCGTCTTATATATTAGAATCAACGTCATACATATGAATAATTGTTTATCAGTTGATAAGAAACGCTCATTGTCTATTTCTGATAAAGCAGCTTTCTTTAATTCATGAGATATTATTCTGTTATCGAAAAAGCTTGACACAGAAAAAAATATCGTGACCCCTCTATAACATACGCATGATAGTGGATGTCCTTTTGAATTAGATTGCAGATGGTGGGATACATGACTCAAATCAAAACACTTCCCTATGTGTTTCCCAAACAGACGTGTCAGGCGCATACGACTTCTGTGGACCACAACCAAAGCAAAAAATCCTCATAGAAGTTAATCGATTCAATATAATTTGATAAACATGAGGCACGATCATCTGAGCCTTCAGCTTTCAGAAAACTAACATTGAGGTCAGATATGCGGACCCGCTTTAGTGCACGATTTTGGCAATTGTCGAATACTGCTGGTGAAACCTGATTATAAGGAAGTCATACTTTAGACAGGACAACTAGTAATGCGAGTGGGATTTCTTCGTCGAGACAGATTATATACATAGCAATGGTTTTTGCAAGTTGTTTATCACAATCAGCGTCAATAATTGTGATCTAGGTTCCGGGAAATTAGGTTACACAACCCCATTTATCCAAGAATGAGGGATAAGTAGTGAGACTACCACCTGATCTTGACAGGTTGGCAGGATAAAGTACACATATAAAATCGTCACATTTATCATTGAAGAACGGAAATGCTCTAAGAAATCAAATCGTGTTTTTCTTGAATAAATCAAAATCGAAACAACTCCGATTTGTTCACATGTAAAGTGAAGAAAAGTGAATATTCAAATGCATGTACATGGACCACACGCGACATAAAAACACAAGCAGATATGCCAATTTCAACGGGAAATAAAGCCGTATATCACAACACTTTTAGTGGAAATGACTAAACTGAGGTGAGCAACGTCAAAGGTACAAATTATATATTTTCTTGATCAATCTCCCCAGCAGATTTTATGATTAATCGCCTCACAAGACGAACAAACAACATATCAATAAGAGATTTAGCTCGGGTCAGCAACATCACAGACCGTCTAATGATGCAGGCAATTTACCCACATTCCCTTGGGTTGGACACATTATGTCTATTTTAAAGGTCATACGTGCAAGCTGATGTTTAAGTCACATGCTGAAACCATTCGGATATCACCATTGAAATCATTGCACTCATCCTCACACAAATCACCTCCACCGTTTACTTATTTTCGCAGGATGTTCCTTTTGTGACAGAGGAAATAATGACAGAAACATTGTAATTCTCCTTGGTGAATATTCCGGTAGTTGAAATATATAGAGAGCAAGAAGATTAAGTCACGTTACCACTCATTTTTTTTTATCGTGGATCGGGATCTTCTGGTGTCCCTCGTCGTGACATTGCCTGAAAATGGTAAAAGGGCGTGAAACCAAACACAGTCACTCACTCACTCAATCATAATGATGTAGCACTAAGACTGAATGGCACTAAATTCTAAATGCACATACATGTACATGTGCCTCTCTTCACCCAGCAGTGAATGGGTACCCGGTAGGATAGGATGACAATGGGGTTGCCTAACACGCAGCTTGAGTTGTATACTCTCCAGGGAGCTGAGAATGATTCGTGAGTGCACATTGATCCAGTGGCCGGGGTAATAATAGCTCTTTGAGGATGCCCCTGTGTGGTGTGAAAATATGCGCAATGTCAATAGCCTATTATTATTATCATCATTATTATTATTATTTACAGATTAAAATAACAAAATGCAGCAAAGAGGGTTTGGGTGATCCTGGCACAGTCAGGCTGGTTAGGCTCATCATCAGCTCAGGGCCCTTGCCCGTTCTACACGCAGCCCAGACAGCGAATGGGACTTCTCCCAGGAAGCGCTGCCTATAGCTAGTCAAACCCACCAAGAACTTTTCGGAGAATGTGAAGACACCCCAACACTGCAGCCTTCTGCATTACCCAGATTGTCAGAAGGGCTGTATTCCTGCTAGCAAACCCGGGTATTCTCCCGATGTCAGTCAACAGATTGGGAGGGACCAAACCTAAGGCACCGAGAACAATGGGGAGTCGTAAAAAACTTGGTACTTGGGATGCAAGCGTGACATTTCGAAAGCGAGGTCTGCATATTTGCCACGTTTTCCTCAATTTTGTCCATCACATTACTGTCAAAAGGGACAGAAAATTCGATGATATAAATGATTTCATTTGATTTATCAAAAAGGACAAGATCAGGTTTGTCTGTGTCAAAGCTGGGCATCCACTGACAATGTGTTGGACGGTCTCATTAGATTCATTACATAATCTACATTTCATATTCACATTTTGATGCCAAATCACACATTGACGGTTTCGAGTGGGAAGTGACTGGTCCTGAGCAGCAAACAGAAAGCCTTCTGTTTCACTTTTCAGGCCAGACGACTTCATCGAAGTGAAGGACTCTGCAGGATTGATGATCTTTTTAACATACTGCACATAAACTCGATGCAGTGGTCGTTCAGAAAGCCTCTCCTTTAATAATTGAGTCTGGGACGATTTTGATATGTGTGCAAAAATGCACAAAACAATTCTATCATGAAGAGCCTCCACATTAATCAAACCACGCCCTCCCATCATAATTGGTAAATATAAGCGATTGAGGGAAGAGCGAGGGTGGGGGGATCTATTGTCTGACATGATTCTTCGTGTGAGGGTGTCAATACCCTGAATTTCTTGTTTCGTCCAATCAACAACACCAAAAGAATACGAAAGGACGGGCACAGCATAAGTGTTTGTGGCTTTGACTTTTTTGAAAGCGTTCAGCTCTGAACTCCAGATATTATTATTATTATTATTATTATTATTATTATTATTATTATTATTATGTGTCATCGTACCTCTTGTTATCAACCACTGGTCTATGTGGTCCAAACTCGATCATTAACAGACCGACTTGATAAAGCTGGAAGATGGCTGACAATGGTGTAAAACATCATTCACTTACAAAGTAACTCAGTACACAGGGAAAGTGGATCTTGTGTTACTGGAATTATGTTTTATACTAAGACAGAAAATTATTGAAGACATTTCTTATTGTTTCGGCTTGATTTAACGCCATTTAACATTATTGGTATAAAGTATACACGCCGATATATTAAGTTAGTGAATTCATAGTTTGTTGTCCTCTTATAAATAAAAGCGACACAACTCTTTCCATATTCATAGAAAATATCTGCCAAAATGATGGTTGTTATAATATAAATGATCAAATTGGATATTTCAGGTTCATTGGAATAATACATCCAATCAAGGCACACATCTTGTGTAATCGACGCCGGATAGCATGCGTTGTCGGATTCATCTGGCCGTTCTCCATCCTCTGCGGTTCCCCAACTCTTCTGTTTAACACTGTCAAGCGAGGCCACCCTCAAAGTACCACCGAATATTGTATGCTGGACTTCCCAGTCAGTCATAACTTCTACATCATGGTCTTCAAATACAGTGAGTTTGGTCTCTTTTACGTCATGCCGTTGGTCATCCAATGTATTTTATACGCTATTGTGTCTAAACAGCTGTTCCTCGGATCTGAAAAGCTACACCGTCGATTGACAGTTCTCGACGAAAACGGTACGGCAAAGGAACGCACTTCGGAGGCACTGCAGGCTCGCAAGGGTGTTGTTAAGATGCTGATCATGAGTGTTATCGTGTACTTCATCAGCTACTCGCCCAACCAGGTTCTTCTGTTTTATCATACCTTCAATGCCAGGCATTTCGAGGACAACTGGACATTCCAAGTGTTCGTTGTGATAATCGCTTACGTCAACTCAGCTGCAAATCCTATACTTTACAGCATCTTCAGCCAGAACTTTAGAAACCGTTTCAATATGGCCGTTTGCTACATCAGAAGGAAAGTGAAGAAATCTTCTCCAAGAAGACAATCTACATTCAGTACCAGTTCCAGATTTGGAAGGCTCACCAGTCTTGTTCCCTCCGCTAATACTGACCTTTGAAACAACACACCATTGCATGTTTCTAACTTACTACAAAATTCATTCCGTTTAGAGTGAAATCCCAGTTAAACATTTGGCTCCATTTCACACAAAATACACAGTTGTGTGTTTTGGACTTACCATTTTGTCATTATCATTGGTAATATATGTTCTGAGTATATTTTAATAATCACCTATTTCAAATCGGTGTATACATTTGTACATAGATCTATTTTCCCGGGTTTGATATGCCATGACACTGCTCAGAGGGAAACGTGATTTCCATTAAAACATTTGATAACATGCATTATATTTGCAAATAGAAAGTGGATATTTTCGTAGTGAAGAAGTGATTATCTTGTTTACAATGTAACAGTATTTACGTTGTTTGTGTGTAAACTATGTACTTATGTTGATGTTCCTGCATTATATACTCTTAAAGTAGGGGATACTTGAATCTTAAAATTTCCAACATTGTAACATATATTTGTTTCGTTAATGAACGAATCGGGGCACATTACACCAGGTAGTGAAGTATGACAGTAGATGTCGAAGGACGATAGGGGTGGGATTGGAAATTTCAAAGTTGACGTTATTTTATCAGTAGTGCGTCAGTGCGTAATACCACCACGACTTGTCATTCATTCACTGGACGATGCACACTGCGTTTGAGTCTCCCAATGGCGATTTGAGGGATTCTGTCCAACTCCTCTTGCAGCGCCTGCTCAAGTGCAGCCAACGTGGTCGACGGCCTATGACGTTGTCGCTCACGTTTCCCTATCATTTCCCAGACTTGTTCAATGGGGGAAAGGTCTGGTCTCATTACTGGCCGTGACATTCTATAGTCAGTATGCTGTCCCGAAAGTACTGTCCAGTGACCCTTCCTTCCACAATATGGAGTGGGGTTCGGTCAGCCATAGTGATACCACCCTACGCCATGACCGATCCATTAAATCGGGCTGACTGACTGACAATATGACGATTTGCAATGGGTGGCACAACACGTGGTCGTCGAGAATGGAGACGATTTCTAATCGTCTGACCAATAACTCGTACTCCAGTAGCCTGATGAAAGTTTGCAACAGTTTGATTCACCGTTTGAGCTCGATTTCGTAGAGCCTGGTTTCGGATCAATTGATCCTGATCTTTTGTTGCTCACGTGGGACGCCCTGGACAGGATCGATCGTCAGCATTTTGGGTTTGTTGGCAAATGTTCCATAGTCTGCACGCTGACTTCTTCCAGTTTCCACCATGCCAATAGCCCATAGAGGCTCCGCGCTTTGTGGGGCGGTCGGGTAGCCTAGTGGTAAAAGCCTTTGCTCGTCACGGCGAAGACCCGGGTTCGATCCCGACATGGGTACGTTTTGTGAAGCAGATTTCTGGTGCCCCTTGCCGTGATATTGCTGGAATATTGCTAAAAGCGGCGTAAAACCATACTCACACACTCCTCGCGTTGTAGACTCCGCATTCCTAGGTCAAACATGATCCTAAAAAGTAACCGATCTTCCTTGGAAGTGTCCTTCAGAAGTGACTCTACGCACGTGGGTGGCGCGACTGCGTCGGGCACGTGCAGACTATAGGATATGTTTTGGTGTTACGTTTTATGATTGGATGTTTGTCGTCAACACTTAACATTAATTGTATTTCATGATCCCTACTTTATTTTGAGAGTATATATATGCAACGGGTTGATATATGACAATATTATCATTGTATTGTGTTGATATAGTTCAATAAAATTACAAACGTGTTCATGACTACGGTGATATTTGATATTCAACATTCACGAATCAGCTGTTTGTGACCACTACAACTTTATCAATGTATTATTACTATTGATCCATGTCGTAATATGTATCGTGAAGACTTTGGCAATAGAGGAGATAACGTTTCACCCAAGACATTTTGAAGGGATGGATATCGCCGATGAACCTTATGGTCAAGATAAGCAATCGCACATATTACATGCCAGATTTCCATTTATACATGAAAACATGCTTTGCATGACTGAACCGTGCCCTCCTATGTCGTCCCATGTAAACATTCATCCGTCAGGGATTCTAATAGATGTCGTGTTGAAATAGAGGATACAATCTTGAGCGAATCGACGATGTGCAACAGCTAGAATCAAACCAGTGTCAACCGAAATAACTTCTGCTGTATCCACTCGAGATCTGCATTGTTATCAACAAGAAAACGGCTTACAGTTTGCGAATGCAAAAACATATGCTGGCAGGTTACACATGAAAGCTATTTTCTTTAATGCCAGACTTAAAATACCCTGCATCAGCTATTGCTTACACCCGATCATCATATTAATTGCAACATGGTTAGATATTCTCAGTCAAACCATGATGGGAACTGGATTTGGACATGTTCTCATCCGAACATCTGAATACGTTTTGAAAGACAGAAATACCAGTACAAATATTATAATTGAAAGCAGGTGTACATGGACATCGTAAAGATAAACAAACGTTATTTGAAACGTACCAGAAATTATACACAGAAGTTAGTGAGTATGGTTTTACGCCGCTTTTACATTTAGCAACATATCAGCATTATCACGGCTTGGGTCAAGTAGGATTTACATGGAGAAAGAAATGTTTATTTTTGTGTCACAAGCACAAGCCGTCATATGAGGTTAAACATTTGACATAATATGTGTTCAAAACAAAAGCTTGTACATCCAGCTTTGTTAGGCTTATGAGACACGTTAAAATACAAGTGTATCCATTGTGATTTTAAAATAAATAAATAATAATAATAATAATAATAATAATAATAATAATAATAATAATAATAATAATAATAATTTCTAAAACGAGCCAAGGATGTGGGACATAATCTCAATGTCGGTGTTGATTTTATTGATGGTTCTGTACTGCTGGACGGTACAGAAATGAGTGTCAACCAAGCGAAGTGCCATATCAAATCGGCCCCGACTAAATTTTTAAAGGCGTGGCTTTCTGAACGACCACTGCATCGAGTATAAAAATTATGTGCAGTGTGATGAGGAGATCAGTAGATTTTGTAATTAATTTAATGAGACTGTTCAGCACAATGTCAGTGGATGCCCAGCTTTGACACAGAAACGGTATCTTAAGCGACATGATGGGGTGGCTCGATCATTATATTACCGTCTTCGCCATGCCTGTGGTTTTGACACAGAGGCCCATCCATGGTACGACCCTGAATATGTAGAGGGCGTCACGGAAAATGATAAATACAAAATCCTTTGGAATAGGCCCATTTACAGCCTCAGACATATCCAGGCCAACAGACCTGATCTTGTCCTTTTTGATAAATCAAATGAAATCATTTATATCATTGAATTTCTGTCCCTTTTGACAGAAATGTGATTGACAATATTGAGGAAAAACATGGCAAATATGCAGATCTCGCTTTCGAAATGTCACGCTTGCATCCCATTTTGTTGTAGAAGATTAGGGCTTTTGTCAGAGATTTACATTTTCCGAGCAATAAATTCATACTTTATACTCCAATAAATCCATTCAGTAAACGTCAGCCATGTCTCATATTTTCTCACACAGTTGACCACTGACTGTTTCAGGAAGAATTGTGAATATTCGTCTTAACTGGCAAAATTGTGCAAAAAAGGCGCTTCTGTCAGAAGTATTACACGCTGGCATAAATATGACAAGGTGCTTACTTCATGGTGTTAGACTAAACACGACAATGTCCAAGACACAATGTCGATGAATAACCTATTATGTTTCCAAATTCGTATTAAAATAGTGAAAATACGTAAATAGAAGACGGTCCGTTACAATATGGGCCCTTTTTGGTGGATAATAAATTGTTTTTGAATGATCATAGATTTGTTGCAAAGAGACATAGTGGAAGCAGCAGAGATTGTGATCTTGCACGGCTAAGCCATTTGATCTCATGTGGCGTCTATTTCGCCCAGCAACAAATACATCAAAAGAGCGGAAATTGTTGCTAATTATGTCTGTAAATAAGGCCTCGCTATTATATACTAGCAATTTGAGTGTTTTTGTGGGCATGTTATGAGCTGATCAACAGCGGATTGTCTCGGGCGATGGGAGCAGTGGGTTGAACCGGATGAACAGTCATTAGATTCCCTGTTAATTGTCTTGACATGAACGACATTACAGAAGCGAGATAAAACCTTCTGGTCAAGGGTCCATTTATTACACATACTAAAAGATTGCTATGTGACAGCTGTTTTACTCATGGTCACGTTAGCGAGCGAATGTTGTTTAAACATTCAGTAACATACTCGTGGCAGCCTGTAGCTGGTAACACATGGAACGATCACATATGAAATATGCCTAACCTTTATGAAATTAATCGTTTGATCACGTGAACCAATCGAAGTGTTAAATTTCTGTCCGCTCTTGACATTAGACATATGCCAATCAATCCGTCTCTTCCCCGTTATTGCATTAAGGAAGTACAGTCTACTAAAACCGATTGGAAAATTACAGTACAATGGTGGTACAAGGGTAGCTCAGTAGTATAAGGCACCGTAAAACGCTTTGCAGAGTTGCATTCCTTTGGCGTGCCAGAAACCTATAATCATGGATTCGAATCCGAATTTCTGATTATGTTTCTAGGTTTCCCAGCTCCATATCCTTACTCGTGTTTTCACAAAAGTGGTAAACCTCTAATTCTTGCATCACTTTGGCTTTTATTCCCACATCATGCTGACACGGTATCTTCCCAAAACGTAGACCTGCCAAAACGCAGACCCGTTAAAACAACACTCGTTATGGCTGGTTGCATCAGTAAGTAGTACCCTGACACACGGTGATATAACCGAACTACTGTTCAAAGCGGCGATAAACCGACCTCACTCACTCATAGTAAAGTCCTGACGTAACGATGTTTTCTTACATCTTTTACCATTTAAACCGTTTTTCAAAGCAGAGGTTGCGAAACATATCACATATTATTGTACACGAGACGATGTGGACTTTTGATTATGTTGGCATCAGTTACTGAGACCAATAGTCTCCATCTTTGGGACTACATTCTGACTGAGTGAGGTGAGTATGTAATGAATACGCGAGAAAATATAACACTCATGTTCCCCATCGTGATGCGGATGGCATATTGCTGAAAACAACGTGAACCTAACTAACTTGCAACATCACTGGAATTATGAATAAGGACTATAATATGTACATAAAGACACACCAAAATGAATGACAAATAGCTTTAACACGAATCATGATGCTGTGGTCCAATGATCACGCGTGTCATTAAACAAGAATAAAGTAATAATGAAAACGTGGCAATAAGTTCACAGGTTCAACAGCTAATTGTACTAATACATGGCAATCAAGGATCAAATAAACCCAATCTGCGTTTATAAAGATCACTGATTGATTACATCAGGGGCAAATACACAAGCGGCTTATCTTAGCAACTGTATTACAGTAATTAAATGAGAGTAGCTAAAACAACACATTGACAAGATACCGACCAGATGCATAAACAGCCAATTAAGTCGACTGCGACCAATTAACACCTGAGTCAATTAACTTAAGACTCTCATGAGTGAATAACCTCGGCTGGGTTAAATAGCGGGTAAAAAACACAGAGCCCAAAAAATTATCATAAATACATGTAAAATATCTGTGTGTACAAATAAATTCACAAAAACATGTTCAATACATGAATAAGGTAGCGAACATATAGCAAATAACAAACATCATAATATCAAGTCAATACATGGTATGAGTGTGCCATTAAATCAGAAGACAATGAAAGAGTCGGGTCACTAATTCTTAGAATGCAATGACACTGTACGACAACGGCCGCCGGACTTGCCGAGCGGTGTCGGAAATAAAGCGATGGACCGGAGCGGACACAAGACCGTGACAAGGGTAGATTCAAGACACGGTGACATAGGAGACGCACATTCACACGTGTAAATTATATTTTGATCTATCGTCTTTGACAATCCCTCTATTTCCACTAAACTACAGTTATAACGAACTCAAAGGATCACTACTTTTAGTTCGTTATAACCGTAGTTCGTTTTGCGCTGAAGCAGCATAGATACAGCAAATGGCCGGGACAAACATCATTGCTGAGAACGTGTTTCTAGTGAGTGAGTGAGTGAGTTGGGTTTAACGCCGCTTTTAACAGTATTCCAGTTATATCGCGACGTGTCAGCTTAGTGTGGGAGGAAAGCCCGAAGTGATGCAGGTCTCAGACGTTTACCACTTCGGTGAAACCCAGGAGCACGGGTATGGTGCTGACAAACCTAGAAACATAATCGGGGCGAACCAGGATTCGAACACGCAATCTTAGGTTTCTGGCGTGTCCAAGGGACGTTACTCTGCACAGCGAATCGCGGCGCCTTAGACGACTGGGCCACCCGTGCTCCCTGTTTCTAGGAACATTTGGAACATTTGGACATTATATACTCAACAACAAAAGTTCCTGTGACACCAATATTTTAGTGTATTTTTCAAACAAGTAAAGTTTGGTTTTCAGTATTGTAGTACATTATGGAATCAAGTCACAAAAACGCAACTGCTACAGAAAAGCATGCATTCCATGCAAAAGTTGACTTTTATGCAAGCCCCATGCTTTCACTACCCAAGAATGGGTATAAAAACATGTGCGTTAACGGGAGTCCATATGCATTGTTTAGCATCGTTCTGACAACAACCACTCAGACAAACAACAAAATTACGCAATTATTCAACATTACGAAATGCCACGTCTGTCCGAAAATGAGCG